CATCATCCCGCCCCCTTGACCTGTCCGTCCTCCCTGGACTGACCTATCTCTTCCCTACCTCCCCACCTATATTCACCTTTACTGGCTCCATCCCCGCCTCTCCACCTCTCCTCTCCTCTATCCATCTTCTATCTGCCTCCCCCTCTTTCCCTATTTATTTCAGAACCCCCTTCCCCTCCCCCATTTCTGAAGAAGGGTCTAGGCCCGAAACGTCAGCTTTCCTGCTCCTCTGATGCTGCTTGGCCTGCTGTGTCCATCCAGCTCCACACCTTGTAATCTCAGATTCTCTGCAGTTCCTACTATCTCAAATAGAAAGGGAATATTTGCAGGGATGCCTGAAGCAGGGGGAATAGTGCGACAAAGCAGATTGCTGTCTCTGAGAGCTAAAGCGTGCATGATGGGTTGAATGGCTCCCGTTCTGTGCTGTAAGATTTGATGGAGAAGTAATAGGATAAGGTCTGAAACCAGCATCATGGTTTACCCAAACATTGTGCTACAATTGCTATGGCTGCAACAAGTCATGTGCACCCTTCAGCAGGGAGCTCACTTTGGCGAGGGACGAGTGCCGTTTAAAGCTACTTAAAAACCAACCCTTCGAAGGGGAGCTGCAACAAGCAGGTGGGAAAGGCTCACTGAGAGTATGTGGAAAATGGCTGGAAGTGGCGGAGAGAATGTACTCTGACTATCTGTGGTGCAGCACTGAAGAGTTTGGAGCAGGAGCAAGACACGACAAGAGAAGCCCTGTCCCCAAGGGACCCCAATCCCCAACCATTGCTGCTGAGCCTCAAGGAACTGAGTGCAGTTTAGGGAGAGGTTTAATGAACACACATGAGTAGTCAGGGTCGGTGAACGCATTTTCAGTGACTTCACAGCCCCTCTGCATCCCACATTCCCCGAATTCTTTTTCCGAGGGTGGAAATGACTGTTACATGGGGGCATAATTTTAAGGTAATTGGAGGAAGGTATAGGGGAGATGTCAGAGGCAGGTTCTTCACACAGAGGGTGGTGGGTGTGTGGAATGCACTGGTGGCAGTGGTAGTGGAGTCAGATACTTTAGAGACTTTTAAGCAACTCTTGGATAGGCACATAGAGGGTAGTAAAATGTAGGGTATGCAGGGTAGATTGATCTTAGTAGGATAATAGGTTGGCACAACATCATGGGCCGAAGGGCCTGTACTGTACTGTGCTGTTCTGTTCTATGTTTGAATTCAGTCACAAACCACCATCCTTTTTTATTTAAGGTTGTGGGTGTCACTGGCATAGTCAGAGGTAATTGCCCGGCCCTAATTGCCCTTGACCAGATTTTCAATCAGTAAGGGAATCAAGGGTTCTGGCGAAAAGACTGGAAAGTGAAGTCGAGGATACTCAAAACAGCCACAATCTCATTGAATGGTGGAGTAGACTCGATGGGCTGAATGGCCTAATTTTGCCTTCTACATCTTAATGAGCTGCTCAGCATTTCCCTGAAGGTGATCAGAACTGCATACCTTACTCCAGAAGAGGTCTCACCAACATCCTGTACAACCTCAACATGATGTCTCAACTCCTATACTCAAAGTTCTGAGCAATGAAGGCAAGCATGCTAAATGCCTTCTTAGCTACTCTGTCTACGCTTAATGCAACTGTCAAAGAATTATGTCCCTGAACCCCTTGGAGTGCTCAGACATTGTGGCTGCAGTTCTAGCCTGAAGCCTGTGTTACAATTCTGCACAACCTCATCACCATGAGGACAAAACATTGAAAGCTTTCAAGAAAGTCCTCAGACAGCACCTTCCAAACCCACTACTGCTCCCATCTAGAAGGACAATGTCAGCTGATATATAGAAACACCACCACCTGCAAGTTCCACTCCAAACCACTCACCATCCTGACTTGGAAATATATTGCTGTTCCTTCAGTGTCATTGGGTCAAAATCCTGGAATTCCCTCCCTAACGGCATACTGGGTCTACCTGCAGCACATGGACTGCAGTGGTTCAAGAAGGGAGGCAATAGCCTCGTGGTGTTATCGCTGGACCGTTAATCCAAAAACCCAGATGATGTTCCAAGGAGCTGGGTTCGGGTCTGGCCATGGCAGATGGTGGAATTTGCATTCAATAAAATATCTGGAATTAAGAATCCAGTGATGACTGTGATTCCATTGTCAAATGACAGGAAAAACCCACCTAGCTCACTAATGTCCTTTAGGGAAGGAAACTGCCATCCTTGCCTGGTCTTGCCTACATGTGACTCTAGACCCACAGCAATGTGGTTGGCTCTGAACTGCCCTCTGGGCACTTAGTTTTGGGCAATAAATGCTGCCTAGATAGTGACACCATCATCCCGTGAATGAATAAAGGAAAAAAAAAGGGACAGACAATAAATGCTGGCCGAGTCAGTGATGCCCATGTCCCAGGAGTGAAAGAAAGGAAATAGTTCTTTGAGCTAAAGGGATAAAAGAGTAAAGGATGAAAGCACGAACAGGGTACTGAACTGATTGATCAGTCATGGTCATATTGAATAGTGAAGCTGATTTAAAGGGCGAAACGGTCAACTCCTGCTCCTGTATTTTTATGGTTCTATATTTGGAAGCACTTGCAGCACATTTTGTATTTAGTGTGTCCTGTTCACTGTATTCTATTCTGCACGTGTGCTCTATTCTGCATGTGTGCGCTGAATTCTGTGTACATTCTACAGTCTCCCTCAATCCCC